TGTGGGGATTTGGACGAGGCTATTCGAGCTTTGGACAATCAAATGGCTGTTGGGGTTGTCGTACGATGTTATTCGTAGCCACACATGGGGCGCCATTTAATTACTTAACGAACATATTAAAAATAGATATCGAAAAATTAGACAGAGTGCTGAAGGAACAGAGATGGCGATGTTCCTCTTCCTTTACCCTCCCAACCTGTAAAGACTAATATTCGATGCCTTTACCCTATTAAAGATGCAACCCTTATTTATATCAGCAGCCCATTAAGCTAGTTTAGATCATAATTAGTTCTTTACATACTTGATAATGATCATTTGATTACCTTTATTTTATTTACATTAATTTTCAGAGTTTTACTTAATTACTAATTTCAAATTTCACGTTGGAGAGTGTTACTTAATTACTACCAATTCTTTCAGTATCAATCAATTTCTTAAATTGTAATTTAGATCAAATAATATTTAATGAGAAGCATATGATTATGCATTTGACTATATATTTCCATATATATATATGTAATTTATATATGAATTGAGTTTAGTAAGTTATGCCGGTATTTTCATATATCATGGTATGCCATAACTGTTATATGGTCATTCTTTCTATTGCTATTTTTGTTTAACTTACCATCTCTGCATGCGGTTACGCCGTACTTTCCGCACAAAACAGTTGTGTTTGTAGTCCATCGTAGTCGACAGGCCTGAAGACGGATGACGTTGCTGTGTGAACTTCAAAACGGATTAGACAATATAACAGCTGATATTACATATACATACCATAGCAAGTTTAGCTAACTCATTATAAAACTAAATATTAATTCTTCACAAATTAATTCGAATGGAATTTGGCCTTGTAGACTTAGTTTGAGATAATCCAAGTTCATGACTTGTTCATGATGTTTCGGTCAACCGTCGTTCACATAGAATGCGTTACTCCGTTACTTTATGCCAATGATATGTTACAATTACAACAGCTGATAGTCCGGGACTTCGACGCTGATCCTTCTTTAAAGACGCTGTACCGCTGCACGTGCGCACTATGGACTCGGCGTCAATGAGTTTGTAGGCTTGCTGCCGTTATTGATCAGCTGTTTATGTATGTGTTGACATGCTGATCATTGTTACAGTCACGTCCCAAGAAACGTTGCCAGTAGGAATTGTTCTCATTTTCTGTTAATATTATGTACGCCTACAAAGTTCTGGATTAAATAGATAGTAAAATGCATAAGCTTCATTTCATAATAAAATATTAATAAGTATTAGATAGAGAGAACAAAAATAAAATCAAATAACTGGTCGAAAAAATAAAAATAAAATGATGTGTGCTAGAGTATGCTAGACTTGGCTACTGTGTATGTATTGGAGAACGTTTTCCTTTAGAACATTGCAACTTGTTTGCAATGGCAACAATTGTTTTAGTGATACTATCTAAAATCATTATACTTTGATACCGAAGGTATTGTGCAATGACCGTCATTCTGTCTGTTTGTCTGTCCGTTTGTATGAACGCAACTTTTTTCGACACCCTTAGATATAGAGTCTTGAATCTTGGAAAATATACTAGTCTGTGCACGCGTAAGACATAGTGTAAAAATTGAAGTGCTAGAAAACCGATAAAATCGACAATTGCAAACCGATAAAACCAGAAATCTCCCACAACTTTAAGGCCACAAATTTGGTTGGTAGGTTGTTGGCGATGCCCTTCAAAGATTGGCATAAAGGTTGTAAGTATATTTCTGGTAGCCGTCTCTAATAACCGATTGTACATTGATAGATCCTCACATCTCCCACAATTTTAAACATAGTGTGACCAAACTTGCTGGCAACCTCAAAGATCTGCTTATTTTTTAATTTTCAGACCACGCCGTACCCCAGGTTCTTCGGCGCTAGAAATCTGAAATGCGCATTTCTTCCACAATTTATTGGTTACTCTCCTAAGTGATCGGTAAAAAATTCGATGGGCACGCCCACTCTGCCTCCCTAAGCCGGTACACCTGTTAGTGTAAATCGATAAGACCATATATTTCATAAAAATTGAAAGCTATAATCACCAAATTATATGAAAGTATATTGCTAGTAACACTTTTCAAATTTGAGGATTTCCACATTTGTGTTGCAAGCCCCGATAGTTTCTCCTGTATTGTCGTTATTACGCATGTTCCAGTTGTTACCTGTGCCTGTGATTATTATTTTATATTATGCGAACTGCCAAGTGCCCGTTTATTGCGCCTCAAAGGCAGCTGTTTTCAGCTTTACTGTTTCGCTTGCGGTAAGTAAATAGGATGATATTCATTCCCATGGAATAGTTACTGCCTCCCGTCACTGGAGTAACAGCCTATTCGATCAATCATAGTATTACGAGGACGACCCTGGGCCAAAATTTCAATTCTTGGCTGGATGTGGGACCTTGCATTACCGAGAAACTGTTTGGACACCCCCTCACAGTCTACTGCGCAAGCCGCTAAGAGTTTTGTCAAGACCATTGAGGCCAACAAGAATGGTGCTATCTGGAAGTTAGAGCAAGGTAAACTAGAGGAAGTCAAATGGACGGGATTCAAGCACTGGGATCCCTATCCAAGTAAATAATTCGTAAGCACACACAGAAATCGAGTAAATTATTGCAGAACAAGATATTGAAGAAGCACTGTTAGAGAGATCCGCTTTTTTACTGAATTTATTTTTATTTATTGTCTATTTGCCCTTAAGATTTCCATAACCCTTTTGGGCACACAAATGTCGAAAATATTAAATATGGTTTAGGTATTCACTAAATATGGTGTTAACTGCTTGCTTGCTGCCCAAGCAGAGCTGCAAGAAGTGCAAGGTTGTAACGGTTGTAGTTTAGAAATATTTTTTATGAATTCAGAGCATGCAAATCATTATGTCAATTTGCGTATTTGCCTCTTTTGAGTACCCCGTAATTTTGTAAAATTAAAAAGATCATATTTGCTTGATTCAATTTATTTTGCGCTCAAATAAAAGCCACATATTTTGGAAAGATTTCTTGGAGTGTACAATGGTATGGGCGCTTATTTAAGCTTGTCATATTTTCGAAATATTTTGACTTTAAAGTCATATATGTAATAAATGTACACATGTATTTATAATAATGTTTTTCACTATATAAATTTTACTAAACGTTTAACGAAACGATATGCTCTGAACTATATGTACAAGTATTTGTATATTTGAGAATTGATTTTTCATTTTTTGAAAATAACTTAAATTTATCTTTTGATTTGCATATTTTTTTGGTATTTAGAATACATATATTTTGTAGTTTTTAGTATATATACATATATAGATTCCGGCATGCATAGTAGAGACTGACGCAAAAATACTGCGAGTCCAAGAAATTGTATATATCGTAGCACGCATATAATTAATAAATTGTTATTAAATATATTTTTAAAAAGTGCGCATAGAAAATTCGTATAAAATAAATAAACTTATGGATAATGAAGAGCCGAATATTGGATTAATTAAGTACGAATATATTGTACTCGTATGTAAGAGTTGAGTCTTTATTTTGGTTGCTGGCTGGATAACATTCTAAATTGAATTACACATGCATCTGTCCTGGGAGCACATACACACGATCAAATAATCAGCTGAGATCTCAGAACACAAGGCTTCGGGGGGACCATCATGTATAGAATATAATTAGTTGTATATTCGAGTTCTGGATCAAATGGATAGTAAAATGCATAAGCTTCATTTAATAATAAAATATTAATAAGTATTAGATAGAGAGAAGAAAAATAAATTCAAATAAATGGTCGTAAAAAATAAAAATAAAATCATTTGTGCTTGGGTATGTTAGACTTGCTTGGCTACTGTGTATGTTTTGGAGAGCGTTTTCCTCTAGAACATTGCTACTTGTTTGCAATGGCAGCAATTGTTTTAGTGATACTATCTATTTATTTTATTTATATAAGTGTGTTCAATTTGGAATGTACTATATATAGCGATAAATTTATTGACATATTAATATTTGGTGCTTATCGACATCATCAACGTATAAGTCGTCCTCAGAGTGCATAACTAGCATATGTACCTTTTAGACCCCTTCAAGAGGGTGCTTTAATTTTGTCACGATAATTGTATAAAGCAATTAAGAAATGAATAGTTTGTAGAATTTATAGAGCACAGACCTGCACACGGATATAACATATATCCACTCAGTTTGTCCTTATGAATGAGGTACAAATATACTAACACCGAAAAAAATGATTTATAATACTTTCTGTGTGGTGTTGAAGCAACTGAATTATTTATTTCTATATGCATATATATATTTGCATGTAAATTAAAATTGTTAAATAGAAATCGTTTTTAATTAACTTGAAGTTTATTTTCGTTAAATTATTATTATAATTTAAGTATAATACATTTTGTACAAATTTAAAATTAAATTAAATTAAAAAATTGACATATTTATATAGACGCATAAATCAAAATTGACAGACGAAACATTGGCCCTTGACATGTACACATATATGTAGAATTATTGGTATATATATATATATATATATATATATATATATATATATGCACATATGTACGATATGTATGGTAAGTATGTAAGTGTGTAGGTATCTAGAATGGGATTGATCAACAAGTTTATGGAAGGCTGCATCCAAGTAGTAAAAGCATAAGATATATATATATATATACATATATATATATATATATATAAACCGTATATACTGTAAATGCATATGCGTGTATATTTATGTATGTAAGTACTATAAAGTAGAAGTGCCCTCGTTGTTGCAAGTGCTTGTTGTTGCTTAGCTGATTGGAGGTGGTATTTGTGGGTAACTTGGTAGCTTGGTCAAATTCGGCATGCAACTTATTAAACATACACAGGTATGTGCTTGTCCTTGGATTAATGCTAAGCGACACATGCGTGCTTGCGTGCTTCTATGTATGTGTGTATTCTTTTTGTTTTTCTTTTTGTTTTTGTTTTTGCTTATCTGTACTTTATGCGTAGCGTATATAGTTAATGGTAATTTAATAACCGTCTATTTCAATAGTACTTTCAATAGTATAATTCAACAATGGTTTTGTTTCCGTTAAGTTTTTCTTTTTTTTTCGCTTTTCGCTCTTTTTTTTGTTTTTGTTTTGCGTAATCTGGTTTTAATATATTTTGTATCTTTTTAATCTATCTATCGGTCTGTGCTGACTGCCCCAATTACACTAAGTTACGTTTTTTTCAAGTGAACCACACTTTGGACCGCCGCCCAGTGCACGGTCCTCCGCCCTCTGCCACTGTCTACAGTTGCACCTGAAATGATTGCGCTTGCGCCTTGGGCGGTGAGATAAACGGATTCGTGCTGTGCCTGTTGCTGCCTATTCCCAGTCCGGGCAGATCTGGCGACATTTTCTTTGCAGCTGCCACGTTGGCCGCCCACTCGGCATCGAAGGGATCGGGGGCAGTGGCACGACCAGTCTGAGCTCGTCCCACATTGGCCAGGGAGCTGGGTCTCTTCGGTGGCATCGCCGGGGATGTGCTGCGCACCACCTGGCCGAGCCACTGTTCAGCATTGGGCAACTGCTGCTGTTCGCTGCTGGCCTCGACATCCGGCTCGGAACGTGTGGGCGACTGCAGGCTGGCCACACGTGGTGTCACCTGGGCAGTGGGGGTGCCGCTGCCACTGCCGCTGCCGCTGGCGCTGCCACTGGCGCTGTACGTGGAGATTACGTGATGTTGCTGCTTGTCGGCGGCAATGATGTTCTGATTGATGCTGCGACTGTTGTTAAAGTTCAGATCGTCGCCAGCTGTCAGAAGTGCGTCATCCGTCTGCGTTAGCAGCGACAAACCTTGGCTGAGCTCCTGACACAACTGACTAACTGTATCCGCTGCCAAAATGGCCGCCTCACCGCCAGACTTGGCCGGCGAGACTTCAGCAATCGGCGAGACGCTGCGAAGCGGCGTGTGGAGTGCATGTGGATTTGAATTGCCGGCGGCAGCGGCGAGGAAGGCCTTCTGCCTATCCGCATTGGACGGAAGATCGTTGACGCGCAGCGACATCTGGCGCTTGAACGGCGACTGGCTGCCAATGGTGCTCAAGCGGAAGGAGCTCTGCCGCTCCAGCATATTGGGTGTGGCATGCGGCCGCTCAATGGCAAACGGATTGAACGGCTTCACTGCGGCGGCTGGCGGACCGCCGCCAGGCAGCGCTGGTCCATCCACACACCGCTCGTTGCTGCCCAGAGTGGTGGCCATGGCCATGCGTTCGGTCAACGACTGCTGGCGGAAGGAGCCGGTGCGCGTAAAGGTCGAGTTCTTGGTGTCAAAGGTCATTGTGACGCCGCACTCCTTATCGCGACGCTGCTTGCGCTCCAGGCAAACGGCAAAGGCGCAACCGACAGCGTGGGACAACCGCTCGCCGGAGTCCTTGCACGCCAGGAAGCCGTGGCACATCCAGCGACGCGTCGTACCATCCCGACAAATGTAGCTGAAGCCGCGCTCGTGATTCCGATCCGGTGCACAGAAGCTCACCTTCTCGATGGTCTGATCCACAATGAGACCCTTCGTCTCATCGTCCACCACACGCAATCCGTCTCCGCTCACATGGAGTAAGCCACGCACCGGACGCCGTCTCGATTGCTGCAAAACGGGAGTTCATTAAAAATATGTTGATTAAGATTTCAAAAGAAACAAAAACCATTCAGTGGGAAATTGAAGACTGATCATTGATGATGAGATACAATGCAATGGAAAACTTCCTTTCATACTTCCTTAAATCACAAGTTCTGATATGTTTTCTGTTTTCTTCTGTTTTTATAAAATAGGCCTTTAACCCTTTCAGGACTTGTTCTCATAATAAGTCAATCGTTGCGTGTTTCGTTTCGTTATTTTTTATTTTTAGTCATATGACCTAAGATATCGTTTACTTCAGCCCACTTAAAATGTGTTATTTAATTACGTGGATTATTTGTATTCATTTTAAGAATATTATGAGGGTTAGCCAAAGTCTATATGCAAAAGTGATTTTTCAAATATAAGTATAAACATAAATAATAATAAATAGCTGTCACACTAACTCACTATCTGACTTTACTTTATGTTCTGAACGTATGTTCTCTTAAGCCATCAAGAAAATGTAATTATATCATCTCAAAGCTTTATCTCTTTAGCTTTATCTATATCTATCCCGAAATAGCTAGAGGATTAGCATAAAAGTCAACACAGCGCAACTGCAGTCTGAAATCATATTTCAAGCTCAATTCGCTAACTGAATGGTTTTTACAATTGGTTAAATGCCATTGGACTTACCCTCAGCACTTTGAGTGCCTCCTCGCAGACCTGCATGCCGCGCGACTCGAAGACCTCCACGCAGCCCAGATACTTGACCGCAAAGGAGCAGGTGGCCGAGCGCACGGCCTCCTCATCGGCCTGCCATTGGTGCGGCTTGGATGATTCGGGTACGCGATCCTTGCGACGACGAAACGAGTCTCTGAACGAGCGTCGCAATCGATCCATCTTCTTCGGCGACTTCTTGCTAAACCGGAATGAGGCGGATTTCTGTGGGTGGGGCGCAAATGTAAATGTTAAAACATTGCGATGATTGTATATGATGATGTGTGTAGGTGCCATATGGCAGCGCGACACGAGAGCGAAATGGAGAGAAACAGGAGAAACAAGTGCCGTCATCGTTGCGATCAGATCAACCCTCGTTTTGTTTGATAACCTACCCCATTCTTGACATCGCCGAATTTTCCGCGTGTGAAGCCGCGCTCCAGTGGTTCGTGCGTGTGTGACGATGAGTTTCCCATGGCTGCGGTCGGTGCGCCTCTCTCTCTCTCTCTCTCTCCCTCTCTCTGTCTTTCTCTGACGCTGTCTCTGTCCCTGTTTGGCTCACGTGCGGAACTTTAGCGTGTGTGTGGGTGTGTGTCTGTGTGTGTGTCTAGCCGGTTTTGGCTTTGGCGTGAGTAAAATGCTGCCAATAACCGTTACAGTTTTAAAACTGGCCAGCCAGAGTGTTGCCAGATGTTTGAGCGTCAGCTGGATAGATGCTTCTCTCTCTCTCTCTCTCTCTGTCACTTTGTTACTCTCACACTCTCACTCTCTTTGTAGAGTAAATATGGCAGTCTTTTGTTGATATCGATTTGTGTTTTATTTTATTTGATTGTTTCTTTTTTATTTTATTGATCTATTTATTGGCTTGTTGAATGCGCAAATTTATTTGTTCATTGAATTTGAGTTATGAAATTGTTGATTAAATTTATTGATGACTTGCTGCGCGATCTGCAATGTGTGTTCAAAGTGTGTTAAAGTGGAAAGTGGAACCACAGACTTCAGCTAATAATAAACACTATCAAGCGGCAGGTCTGACGTCTCTGATTATGCATTGCTTTCCACTTCGAATCGCAGTACTCCTCATGTGACTCACACGCTTATCGGCTGAGTAACGCCCCCAAAAAAATCTATCGAAACGTATCCATAATTGTGAATAATACTATATTTAGTATGATTTGGCTTGACTAGAAAATAACGGTAACCTTCCGGCCCGAGTGTCTATTGCTACTACTCTACTCGTAAGCTCGTGGGGGCTAAGTAACCTATGAGAGCAGTCCGAGCAACCTCCAATGAAAAAAAAAAAACAAATGGAAAAAATAACGTCGAGATCGGGAACATTAGTCGCTTATCGTAGCGTACGGTCGCCTGTCTCACGTAATTGTTTACACACATTTAATTTTATTTTTTATTTTGTTTAATATTTTTTGTATTCTTTTTTTTTTTTTTTGTGTTCTACGCTCTTATTTATTTATACTTTGTGGGGCTTTTGTTTTCTTTGCGCTGCGGAGACATACGCTGACGTTTTTGTGACTTTATCACATGTCTCATATTGCGGTAAACTTTACCGACTATGTGTGCTTTAATTTATAAGTGATAGCCCGCCCCTACGCCAAAAAACAACACGCTTTTCTGCCCACCAGCCGCCAACGGGCCGATAGCAGACACTCAACACTCGCAAATAATGCAGCACAATTTGATCGGAGATCTGTGAGAGAGACTGTATTATATGGCTTAAGTCGGGCAGACTTGGGCTTAAGAGAGTCAACACTTCAGAATTTCGGTTGAGAATATGTTAAAAGAAAACTTAGTTGCTTAGATTTGCTTATCCTTACAATGAGTACGTTAACATGACAATATCTTATCAGACATCCATGACACATTATACATATATAGACATGTATATGTATTTGCTTGCCACTGCAGTTACTTTGTTATTTATCACGTAGTCAGCGATATTACAATGCAGTTGTGTTGTCTTAACCAGTGTAGTTTTAACTCTTTGACGTCAACGTTTAGTTGACATGTGTTAATTGCACTGTTCAACACTGGCTAACGAATTTATCGGGTATTCGCGACTGCACTGAAAAGATACAGATGAACACTAAGTCCGAGTTCAACGTCATGACAACACAACAAACAACACAAACAAAAAAAGTGTCTTTCGAATGCGTTGCAACTTCACTGCCAGAGGGAATAAGAATAAGCAGCTTTCTTCTTAACTTAACTGTAAATGTTACAAAACTGGTTTGAACATTTATTAACTGATTGCCCAGCTCGACTGTCGGCTGGTTCTTTAAGCCTTGTGCTTTGTGCTGTTGGTGTAGCTTCCACAAGGGCATTCGACAATTTTGAGCTTTGGTTTTCTACACACGATTAAGAGACTCAGGTCTGCTTTCAGTTTAGAGCATTTAGATGCTGTGGATGCTGTTTGACTGCATTTTTGGTCAGAGGCAACTGTGTACTTGGGCGTGTCTCTGCGGTTTATTTGTGAAGGGTCAGCTGGCTAATCAAATTAGAGCCATAAGGCGTGAGATTCAGTTTGGTGTTGGCCACAGCTGCACAGCTGCATGACTCCGAATGTGGGTCATTCACAAAAGTAGAATACTGTTCACAGACAACTCTGAAACAGCTAAGAACCTAATTCGGTCAATAACACAAAGTAAATGTCATTACAAGTGATTAAATTGTATAAAGAGCAAAGTGCAAAGGCAAGTTAATTAATTGCCCTAACTTTGTGCTAGAACTTTTTACTTATTTTGAGAATTGAATACATTTTTCCAACTTTGGAGTTTATCAATTATTTTAAGTCTTGCATACATTTTTCAAGAAAAATATTTTAATCTACGAAAACAGTAAATGTGTTAAAAAAAAAAAAAAAAAAACTAAAGTTATATAAAAATAAATTTTAGCGGAAAACGTACTTCTTTATATAGAGCTTATGTTTTTTGTTCATATTTAGTGAGCAGTTTTCGTATGAAGTTAGTCGGTATAACTGGGAAACTCCATTACAAATACCTCACATACAAATGCTCTCGTATGACTCATTGGATGGGAAACAGCATCAGACACACGTTTCAGTTATGCACAAATTATCAGTGAGTCCGCAGAATATGAAAAGCCTATTAAGTCACGCACTAAATTCAAACATGATTTCATAAGTGACAACAATGGGCTAACAGCGGCGAAGCACAGGTCGTCATACCAAACGGAAAGGGTTCATTCAACCAGTAAGCCAGACACGAAACAGGTTCCACTCGAACAAGAGGAAAATCAAAATTGTGCGAGCACTAAATACAAATCAGATGGGAGTCCGGATACATGTACACACATACACACACATGCATACATACATACACAGACACATACATGCATACAAATGTACAGAGTGACAGCGTAGGTTGATAAAGCGTTATAGAATCAATATTTACTTAATAAATTTATATATTTTCTTCATATTTACCGTGTAGGTTAATTAAGATAGCCAACAGATCGTTGTACTATATCTATATATATATATATATATATATATAAATCCTGATTAAAGCAAACAATGCACGTCGAGTTGAGCTAACAAATAAATCAAATCAATCACCTGAAATTCAAACAAATCGAATTTCTTTGAAATTAAATCAAATAGTTGGTACTATCTGCAAAGGTCATAATTGAAAGTATATGGTTCATACTATGTCAACTACTGTCTATATAGTATTAACTTGATATTCTTGATATTATAGAGTTTGCTTAAGTTATCAACACAAACACAATCATATATGTAGATGTGTACAATAAATCATATGGCGCTGATCTTTAACGCATGACATTCAATGACATAATGAACAATTGTAAATTAGCGTGCCACAGAAAATGGCAATTTGTGCTTTTTAGACAGCATTAAACAATTAACCCACGCGAGCAGTCATTGACACTAAACTTGATGGGCATATATATATATATATATATAAAACTTTATCTGTGGTATCTATGTATTACATTAATTAATGTTGCACAACGACAATAAAGCTGGCGCCCACCAGCTGCTGCCCGATGTTGGGGTTGGTGTTGGTGTAATTAATTTGGTGCCCCCAAAAGGCCAACGACACTTGTTGCACATTTACCAGATCCGTGTCTGTCGAACTCTAATTGCTTGACCAGCACCACCAAATATGCCCAATGATGACAACCACCGGCTGCGTTTGCTTACACCAAGGAACAGTTCTAGGCACATCCACCTGGCCAAAGGCGATAACTTTGCCTCACGTGCTAGAAAAGATTTCTGTTATTGCTATCATTGAGCACGTTTCCTGTCTGCCTGCCATAATTCATAATTTAAGGCATATACAAATTGTAGGCAGCAGTTCATTTGATATGCATAAGCAGGGATCAATTCTGTGCGGTACGTGGGCTTAGTGCCACTTGATAAAGTCGCTCGGCGAGTTTTGGATTATACTAAAGACAACACGTTCGAGGTGCGCTCGGCTTACAACTTGATCTTGGGCTTATTGGCATTAGGTTACAGGATAATCATTTTGAAAGGGAAAGGTAACGAATACACTTAGAAAAAAATATGGCCAACCATTTTGAAAAAGCGCTTTCAAAGACAAAAACCAAAAGTGAGGATTCAGAATTGAGTGTAATTCAAAGAACAATCTTGCGTCCATCCCATGGAAATGCGTACTTCGCAGAAAATGAATCTGGTTCCCTTGCCATCCCATTGTAATATGCAATTTTAATCTGTAGTTCTGTGAAGATATTTTACCTAGCTAGACAATGGGTGCTTGCATTCCTGTATGCATTTCAGCCAGAGAGAGGCAGAGAGAAAGTTCACACGCTTTGGACTGGCCAAGGCAGAGCGGAAAAAGGATACACATTTTATGGCTTCCTTTCTGTTCTGTTCTGTTCTGTTCGTTCAAGCCAGCTCTTCGCCGAGTACTTAATATGCAATTATAATTATGCCGCCCTGCGTTTTCTTCGTGTTGTTGTTGTTTTTGCCTAACGAGGGGTATTCGAAGTTGATCAACCACCAAAGCTGCTCGTCGTCCTTTCGATGAAACCAGGCGACGTTTTTTATGTACAAAGAGCAGGGGGTTGCTGTTGGCGGAGTGTTGGAATTTATAATTTGTATATGCCCATTCTGCTTGCTAGTGTTGGTGGTCGTGGGAATTTTTGATCAAACATGAATGCCAAAGGACTGTGGCACATACATAATCAGTATAAATGTTCAAACACAAGACACAGCTTAACGCATGTTTAGCCAAGCAATTAGGAGAGAGTGCCCCAAGTAATAATGATATCAATTAGGTTGCATAATGTACATTAGACGTTGTATTAAGAAAATGGGCAGCCACAATTGATGCAATTTGTACAGATCTCGTGTGTCGCATGAGAAAATGATGACTGATTGCACAAGCAATAACACTAAAAGAAAAATTTGACAATTCGGTTAAAGGAACTGCTCCTAAAATCTAAGCAGCAAGCGACACGAAGCAGTGCGCTAGAAATTCGCATAATAGCAATAATAATAATAGCAAAAATAATAATAACAATAAACCGAAATAATAAACCCAGGAAAGTTTAAGACAACAATAATGAGACGAAGTGTAGAACAATATTCTCACAGCTTGTATTTTTGTGCGAATGACGCATTTGACTGTCTTTCGGCGTGTAAGAAAAGGGTAAGTTGCCAAATAATTGCACAGCATCAGCAGAAGTCGCGGAGGAAATACTTTAGCAGCTTCTTGGGTTCCGTGGGATCTGAGCATAGAGGTTTTTAAGGTTCTAGTTTTATGCGCCGTACGCATAGATAAATTCACACGCCGCTAATAGAAACGCACCCTTAACTACTCAGTAGGTAGTTGGCTGTGGCTCTGGCTGTGGCAGGGGCACGGGCACGGGCAGGGGCATGGGGAGTGCGTATAGGGCACACATTCCTATGCACCCAGTGCGTTGCA